GGGGGGCGGGGGTGGGTGGGCAGGAGGACGACCTCATTCTCGTTCAGGGCTTCTCGGGCGTAGCTTTCTGACCGAAGTCCCCTTTCCCTTGGTCCAGGCCCCTTTACAACACAGGAGATGGCGGAGTGGTTCCAGGCGGGCTATTTTTCCATGGCACTGCTTGTGAAGCGGGGCTGTGATGAGGGCTTCCAGCCACTGGGTGAGGTGATCAAGATGTGGGGTCGCGTGCCCTTTGCCCCGGGACCCTCACCACCCCCACTGCTGGTGAGCACGTCCACCTGGAGAGGAGCAGGGCGGGGAAGCGGGAGCCGGACGGATGGCGGCGGGTGGTGCGGAGCGAGACCAGGTCAGAGGCACAGAAGCGCTCTGGCCCCCACTCAGGGCAACATGGACCAGGAGCGGCTGAAGAAGCAGCAGGAGCTGGCGGCCGCGGCCTTGTACCAGCAGCTGCAGCACCAGCAGTTTCTGCAGCTGGTTGGCAGGTACGGGGGCCTTGAAGGCCTTGTGGGTCAGGCCGGGCGCCGGCTGTGTGGCCTCTCCCCGCTCGACACCAGTCTCCGTGTCTGCAGCCGGCAGCTCCCGCAGTGCGCGCTCCGGGAAAAGGCCGCTCTGGGGGACCTGACGCCGCCCCAGCAGCAGCTCACTGCGTTCCTCCAGCAGCTCCAAGCTCTCAAACCGCCCAGGTCCGGGGCCAGTCTGTGCAGGGGGGGAGGTGGGCAGAGCCGAGAGGGACTCCGGTCCTGAGAATCCTCGCTCTGCTCCTCAGAGGCGGGGACCAGAACCTGCTCCCGACCATGAACCGGTCCTTGTCGGTGCCGGATTCGGGCCCCCTCTGGGACATACATACCTCAGCCTCATCACAGTCAGGTGTGTGGCCAGCCTGTCCCCTGCCCCCACTTTCTGAACCCCAGTGCCCCAATCCCGGGGGGGCGGGCCAGGGGCTCTGTGTCTGCTCCCATCCCCTTGCGCTCTAGCCCGGTGGCACTCTGAGCTTCTTCCTGCAGCTGCTTTGCTTCCTGCAGGCGGTGAGGCCAGTCTTTGGGACATACCAATTAACTCTTCGACTCAGGGTCCAATTCTAGAACAACTCCAGCTGCAACACAAAGTGAGTGGGCTTCAGGGGGCTGGGGTCCTGGGGTGGCAGGGGCCAGACCGTCGCAGGGGAAGGCTGGGTGCCCCCACTCTGCCGTCTGAGCTGGCTTCCTGTGCCAGTTCCAAGAGCGCAGAGAAGTGGAGCTCAGGGCGAAGCGGGAGGAGGAGGAGCGCAAGCGGCGGGAGGAGAAGCGCCGGCAGCAGCAGCAGCAGGAGGAGCAGAAGCGGCGGCAGGAAGAAGAGGAGCTGTTTCGGCGCAAGCAGGTGGGTGCCCAGCTGGGCCTCCCCCGCTGGGCTGGGGCCCGGGGCCGGCCACGCGCTCTCCCCGCGTCTTCCCGTGTCTCACCACGTCTCCTCGCGTCTCCTCGCGTCTCCTCGCGTCTCCCCGCTCCAGGTGCGGCAGCAGGAGCTCCTGCTGAAGCTGCTGCAGCAGCAGCAGGCAGCGGCCGCCGTCCCGGCGTCCCCCGCACCCAGCTCCCCGCCACCGTTGTGGGCCGGCCTGGCCAAGCAGGGGCTGTCCATGAAGACGCTGCTGGAGCTGCAGCTGGAGGGCGAGCGGCAGCTGCATAAGCAGCCCCCACCTCGGGAGCCGTCGCGGGCCCAGGCCCCCAACCACCGTGTGGTGAGCAGGCGGGCCGTCCCTTCCCCCACCGACCGATTGGCTGGTCTTGAGCCCTCAGGAACCCCTTCCAGTTATAGTTCCCAGGGTGACCGGGGGGTGGGGGGAGCGGGGGGAGGGATGGTTGAGCCCAAGGTACAGACCTGACTCTGAAGGCTCTCGCTTCTGGGCGGCCCTCACCTTGCCGCGCTCTGCCACCTAAACGAGCCCCCCTCCCCACCTAGCTGTTTGGAGTGCGTGTGTCTGTGTTTGGGTCACCCTGACTTCTGCCATCTGTAGCAGCTCGGGGGCCTGGGCGCTGCTCCTCTGAACCAGTGGGTGTCTGAGGCTGGGCCACTGTGGGGCGGGCCCGACAAGAGTGGGGGCAGCAGCGGTGGCCTGGGGCTCTGGGAGGACACCCTCAAGAGCAGCGGGAGCCTGGCCCGCAGCCTGGGCCTGAAGAACAGCCGGAGCAGCCCCTCTCTCAGGTGGGTGCCGGGGGTCTGTCTGTGCGGCGGGGCGGGGGAGGGGGAGACCCTGACCTGCCTCAGCAGATTTCATGCCTCCGGTTCGTCCCCGTCCTGCTCAGTGACTCGTACAGCCACCTGTCAGGCCGGCCTGTGCGCAAAAAGACAGAGGAGGAAGAGAAGCTGCTGAAGCTGCTCCAGGGCATCCCCAGGCCCCAGGACGGCTTCACCCAGTGGTGTGAGCAGATGCTGCACACATTGAGCACCACAGGCAGCCTGGACGGTATGGGCAGCAGCCCCTGAGGGTGCCGGGCTGGCCCGGGGCTTCCCGACCTGCATCAGGTGGGCCCTGACAGCCCGCCTCTCCTGCCCCTTAGTGCCCATGGCTGTAGCGATCCTCAAGGAGGTAGAATCCCCCTACGATGTCCACGATTATATCCGGTCCTGCTTGGGGGACACGCTGGAAGCCAAAGAATTTGCCAAACAGTTCCTGGAGCGGAGGGCCAAACAGAAAGCCAGCCAGCAGCGGCAGCAGGTGAGGCTCCGTTGGCTCCCCCGGCAGGTGGGATGAGGTGGGATGAGATGGCCCCACGCCGCACTGACCCAGCTTCCTTCTGCGCCCCGCAGGAGGCTTGGCTGAGCGGCGGCTCCCTGCAGACAGCCTTTCAGACCAACCACAGCACCAAACTCGGCCCTGGGGAGGGCAGCAAGGCCAAGAGGCGGGCTCTGATGCTGCACTCGGATCCCAGCATCTTGGGTAAGTTTGGGGGTGCGGCCATGAAGGAGGCTTCTTACTCGTACGGGGCGGGGGCCTGGGGAGAGCTCAAACCCAGCTTCTCCCCGGCTTCAGGGTACTCCCTGCACGGACCTTCTGGTGAGATCGAGAGCGTGGATGACTACTGACCAGCCCGTCCCACCAGCCCCTGGGCTGTAGGCCAGGGGCAGCAGCAGCGGCTTGGACCCTTGGGTCCCCAGCCTGCAGGCTCCCCACGGGAGCATAGGAGGAAGCAGGGGCAGGGTCCCCAGCACTTGTTACAAACCACACGATGCACCTTAACTCACCCACCACGAGGCACTTTACAGATTGGGGGGGAAGGGTTTTTGGTTTTTTTGTTTTTTGGGTTTTTTTTTTTGTTTTTGTTTTTTCTTTTTTTAAAAAAATAACATTTTGGCTGCGATTGAATGAAAAAACTGTTAGGAGAGACAAAAAAAATTATTAAAACATGTAGACATCTAACCTGCTAACTCCTTCCCTGTAGGGACAGTGAGGGTGACAATGGAAGGTCCAGAATCTTTGGGGTTTTTTTATTAGGCATAATGTGTGTGTGTGTGTTTTGTTTTTTGTTTTTGTTTTTTTCATTTTTTTATTTTTAAGAAAAGAAAAAAATGGAAAAAATGTTTTTTTTTAAGGTCGTTAGAAGATTCATTAGAAAAAAAAAAAAAAAAACACACTGTTATTATTTTGGGCAGTGGGGACAGGCCCCAGTGGGACCTGTCCTGCCTGGACCCCTGGTTGCATGGACCCTGTCCTGCTGGCCATTAGCCCCAACTGGAAGCTGGGCTGCCAGCAGGACAGCGAAAATTCCCTCCCTGCCGGACCCCGCTGTGAACGCCCTTGTTGCTTAAGGACCGGCAGGTGTCCGTGGTGGGCCAGCAGCCTGGTTTGCTGTTTAGGGGAAGTTGGTAACCGGGTCAGGCCCCTGGGAATTTGCTGCCATCCCAACAGTTTATTGACGGGAGGGAGGGCCAGGCCCCCCTCTCTGGCCGCCAGGGGCGGACAGAACTCCACCCAAAAGCTGTGAGCGGCTCCCACTTGTTACATTTGGGATTGCTGCCTGGTGTGACCGTGGCAGAAAGCCCCAGAATTATTGGCTCCTGCTGGTGGGGTAGATGAAAATGGCCAACTTTGCTGCTTTAAGTTACACAAAGCCTGGGCGGGCAGCCTCAGCTCTCCCCCCCAGGCTGCCTCTGTGGCTGGCCAGAGGTGGGGAGGGAGGGCCAGTCTCAATCTCTTCTGGTGGGGGGGTGAACTCACTCAGCCCTGGTGGGGGGGGGGGGGCTTCTCCACTGCCATTTGGGGGGGGCCGGCAGCCTGGTGTGGGGGAAGCCTCCCATCCCCTGCCCTGCATGAATGTATTCTTGGGCCTGGCCTACTCTTCTGCCTCAGCAAATGGGGAGGAGTAAAGTTCCTCGGGAGCTGAGAGAGAGGCACCACTTACTGACTGTTTTCTCCTGTGAAAGGGGCAGGAGGAGGGCCTAGGAGGCCAAGGGAGTGGGCAGCATGGGGCTTCGGGTTGCAGTGTGGGGAGCTGTCAGAATGGAGCCCCCCCGCAGCCATGCCAGCCAGCTGTGTGGGAAGTGGACCACCCAGCCCTGCTCTGAACCCCCCCCATTGATCATGAAATGGGGAGAGGAAGGGCAGTGGCCCTCCCCTCCCTGCCTCCCCTGATGGATTTTAATGTTGGGTAAGGTGTGGGGGTCAGGCCAAGTAGTGTTGTCTCTCCTATATGGTCAGGGAAGGCCACCCTTCTGTTGCTCACCAACTTTATCATTCCCAATCACCTGCCTGGGTTTATCTCCCATTTGTGTGTGTTTTCTTTTCTTTCTTTTCTTTTCTTTTTTCTTTTTTTTTTAACAGTTTGTTGTATCTTTGGGTTTCTCATCTAACTTCTCCCATTGACCTCATTGCTCAGGTGCAGTATTAGGGCAGGAATCTGCCTGCCTCCCCTCCATGAATGTATTTGTCCTTCCTGCCCTGGGAAATGGGGGGAGTGGCCCATTTTCTTTCCCCATCCATTCTTAGACCACATTTTTTTGTTCTTTTTTGTTTTGTTTTGCACCAAGTGGCAACTGGGGGTCAGTGTTGGGGATAAAGCTGGCCTCGAGGGGTGGGCACCCTCCACCTGCTTCCTCCCCTGTTTCAACAGTGTTAGCGTCCAGTGAAAAGACAATATTCTCTCTAAAGCAATAAGGGGGTGGGCCAGGGAAATGTCTTTGCTGCTGCTGGCTCCCAGCTCCCCCCCTTCCTCACGCCAGTATTTGTGACATTAAGAGGTGTCGGGAGTACTGTTGTGACTGGATAACCAACAGCCCCCACCCTGTTTGCGCCAATGCAGGGAGGGTGACACTCTTCCCTGTTTCTTCCTTTCCCTTCCCCCCCAGCTAAAGAGACTTTGAACTTAGGGGGCCCTTGTCCAGAGCCTGGAGGCCTTAACCCTGTGAGGAAGTGTAGGGGCCTCTCCCTGTCCCTTCTGAGAGTGGTCAATGTTTACAAGCCCCTGAGCCCCCCCCAGCCAGGGACTCCACCCCCATTGCTGTCCTTTCCCACCCGTCTTCCTGGGCCCCAGCTGCTCTCCCACCCTCCTGGGTTGGGGTGGGTGCAGGGGCTGTTCTGTATCCCCTTGTCTGCCTTGGACCCACAATCTCCCCCACCCTCACCCTGTGTGACTCCCCTCTCTTCTACCTGCCCCTGTAAATATTCCCCTTCCCCCAATAAAACTTGGTGTGTGTTCTCCCCTCTTGATTCTGTGTCTTGTCTTGGGGAAAGGGGCATTGTGATCGGAAAGACAACTCTGAGCTAGGAACTGAGCTGTGGGCCGGGGCAGCTGTGGTCAGCCAGCCAGAGTCTGAGGGCTGTGTGTGTGTGTGTGTGTGTGTGTGTGTAGGAGCACCCGTGGCCCTGCTGGGCAGGTCCTCCTGCTTGACTTCTGCTTGGGCTGGAGAAGGAGTGGGAGTTTCTCTCTGGTCCTTACTTACAAGGGCCCAGACCCCTGCCCACCCCCACCCCTCTCCTTGTCTGCCCTGGGGACAGAGATCTGCACTGAGAAAGACACAAGGGTAGAGACCAGGTACAGAGTTGGAATTGGTTCCTTTATGGAAAAACTGAAAATATAATAAAAATTAAAATAAAACCAGTTTTAAAAAAGCCAGCCCCTGGAGTTTCTACCTCCTGCCTCTGGCCCTCCAGAGGGATGAGGCCCCAACCCCAGGGCAGCAAAAGGATGAGGGCTTTCTGCCCCTCCTCTCCCCCCATTCTATCCCATCTTCATCTCCACAGTGGGGGCCCCCGGGAGGAACCAAACCTGGGTAGGGGAGCAGGGACCCAAGGCCCGGTGGCCCAGGGAGGGGGGCTTGGTGTGCACCCAGCCCCAAAGCTCCCGGTCTGTAGTGTGGGCATGGGCAGGGCCCCTCCTGGCCTGGGCTCAGTGGGGTGGCAGCTGTTAGTTCCAGATCTTGAGGAAGGAGTCCCAGGAGCCTGTGGCCACAGCCATGCCATCATCAGTGACCCCAAGGCAGCTCACGCGGTTGTCGTGGCCAGCAAGGACACCTGTGTGGAAAGAACATCAGAACCCCCACCGGCTGGCAGCCCCGGCCCCCCGCCCGGCCCCAGCGCACCTGCACGATCACCCTTCATGGCGTCCCAGATGTTGCAGTTGAAGTCGTCGTAGCCAGCGAGCAGCAGCCGGCCGCTGCGGGAGAAGGCAACAGAGGTGATGCCGCAGATGATGTTGTCGTGGGAGTACATGAGGAGCTCCTGGTCGGCCCGCAGGTCAAAGAGGCGGCACGTGGCATCATCAGAGCCCGTGGTGAAGGCGTAGCCATTGGGGAAGAACTGCAGGACATGGGACCAGAGTGGGATGAGGGCACAGCAAGGCCAGGAGCCTGGCAGAGACAGGCCGGCCCAGCTCTGTCCAGAACTTACAGCCACGGCATTGATGTCTGATTCGTGGCCAATGAAGGTCTGTCGGCACATAGAATCCCGAACGTCCCACAGCTTGATGGAGGCGTCACAGGCACCTGACACAAAGGTGCGGCCATCAGGGGCCAGCGACAGGGACATCACATCTCCACTGTGTCCGGCAAAACCCACCGTCTGCTGTCCTGTCTCAATGTCCCAAAGGGCACTGGAGAGATGACAGGAAGAAGGAAGGGGTCAGAGAGAGGTCCCTGCCCCCCTTCCCCTCCAAGTGAGCCCAGCCCTGACAGAGCCTCCTCCAAGGAAGGGGCA